GACTGGGTGACAGAGCGAGACTCCATCTCCAAAAAAAAAAAAAAAAAAGGCGGCCACAGTCGTCTTAAAGCTATTAAATCAGGCCAGGCACAGTGGCTCACACCTGTAATCCCAGCACTTTGGGAGGCTGAGGCAGGCGGATAACTTAAGGTCAGGAGTCCGGGCGGGGTGGTGGGTACCTATAATCCCAGCTACTCCAAGGTTGAGACAAGAGAATCGCTTGAACCCGTGAGGCGGAGATTGCAGTAAACCAAGATCACACCACTGCACTCCAGCCAGCCTGGGTGACAGAGCGAGACTCTGCCTCAAAAAAAAAATAAAATAAAATAGCGTTGACTGGTTTAGCTAATTCAGGTACAGCACATATTTGTTGAGTTTTTTTGTAGGGCTATGGGAAGAAATGGGAGCCTTTTCATTAACACAACACTGATTTTACATTCTACTTTTCAAAAATACAGTTGTACATAGCATGGTTTAAGGTGGGGTCCCAGACACCTAGAATGAATAAGTTTAGAATATCCAAGAAGTGCTGGGGGCGGTAGCTCACGCGTGTAATCTGAGCACTTTGGGAGGCCGAAGCAGGCGGATCACCTGAAGTCAGGAGCAGACCAGCCTGGCCAACATGGAGAAACCCCGTCTCTACTAAAAATACAAAAAAATTACCCTGGCATGGTGGCGCATGCCTGTAATCCCCACCCAGGAGGCTGAGGCAGGAGAATCGCTTGAACCCGGGATGGAGAGGTTGCAGTGAGCAGAGATCCCGCCTTTGCACCCCAGCCTGGGCAATAAGAGCGAGACTCTGTCTCAAAAACAAAACAGGTCAGGCACAGTGGCTCACGCCTATAATCCCAGCACTTTGGGAGTCCGAGGCAGGCGGATTACCTGAGGTCAGGAGTTCAAGACCAGCCTGGCCAACATGGTGAAACCCCGTCACTACTAAAAATACAAAAATTAGCTGGGCATGGTGGCAAACACCTGTAATCCCACCTACTTAGGCGGCTGAGGCGGGACAATTACTTGAGCCCAAGAGATGGAGATTGCAGTGAGCTGAGATCATGCCACTGCACTCCAGCCTGGCTGACAGAGCGACTCTCTCAAAAAAAAAAAAAAAAAAAAGAATATCCAAGAAGTGCCCAAAATAGCAAGCAAAGGAATTGTATACGTGCCTGTTCTTTTTTTCTGGAAAGGAGAATCTGCAGCTTTATAATTTCAACATCAGCCTAAACCGTCGTGAACCTAAAACAATCAAAAGGGCCAGAATCTGTTTAAAGAATTTATTCAAGGGCAGTGTGAGGATAGACCAACCAAAAAACCAACTCCAAAGAATGGAGGTCAGCCTTCAGAAGTAGGGAAGTTAAGATTTCATTTATTTAGGCAGACAGAGAAGTTTTTAGCTGGATTACATTATCTATACAAGGTTGGAACATAATTACAGAATTTGGTTACAAGCAGTGTTTTTTTTTGGTTTGTTTTTTGTTTTTGTTTTTTTTGAGGTGGGGTACAGCTAACATTGTTTTACGGAGAGTTTAACACTCATGAGTTGCTGTCTTATGGTGACATCGTTTGAGTCTCTCTAGTCATTGAACAGAACAAGAAAAATAAATCGAATTAAATTTATAATCTGAAGTTATATGTGACCCATCACATCTGTCAAGTTTTAAAATGGGTTTTGTTTTGTTTTTTTGGTGGGGGGAGCGTCCAGCAGCTTTTAAATGTTAATTTTCACATCATGTGTTCCAAAAATAATTGGTTAGCCTAGGTCACTTCCACCCTCCAACGCTGTGAATACAGGCTCTGTAGCATTCGCTATTTAATGTCTTATCTTCCCGAGCTATTTGAGAAATCGCTAGGTCGCCTTAATACCGCAGTCGCCACTTTGCGGACTGGAGGGCGGAGTCTGCTTCGTTCTGAGAACTGCGTGGCTCCGCGCAGAGAGCTCCTGCTAGGCCTGCGAGTCCTGTTCTGAATTCTTACCCTTATTCAGTCCTTGTCACCACCCCCGCCGTGGGAACGGCCGGACGGCCACTCGTCAAAGGAAGTGGCTGCCGGCAGCTCTTGACCCGGAATCGGATCCTAGTCCCACCCCTTCTGCTCCAGGCTTCCTTCTGCAACAGGCGTGGGTCACGCTCTCGCTCGCTCTCTTTCTGCCGCCATCTTGGTTCCGCGTTCCCTGCACAGTAAGTACTTTTTGTGCCGCTACTCTCTATCCGCAGCCATCTGCCTTTCTTTCGGGCTAAGCTGCCCCGGGGACTGAGAGTTAAGGAGAGTTGGAGGCTTTACGGGGCCACGGGGTTCCTACTCGCCCCTGGGCTTCCTGACAAAATGGGGTCTGCGGTTGGTGTCCTGGCAAAAGCAGAATAGAAGGGCTGCGGGCCGGGCCCGGAATCCGAGCCTGCAGAGATGGAAGCAGTTGCAGTGTTGAGGGCAGAAGAGAAGTGCGTCTTCTTTTGGGAACTGCTTTAAGGGATCCAGAAAAGGGTCAGGGGTCACAGCCTTAGAACCTCCAACACCGTTCTCATTGTGACAAGCAAGTGTTGAACTTACAGCACCGTCTTTCCCCTCCTGGGTTCCCAAAGTCGACAAACGTAGTCCAGGAGGCCCCAGCCTAGCCAGTGTGAGTATTAGGAGTGGAGAGGGTTCACGGTAGCGTCTGAAGTCGCCTATGATCGGGAGCCAGCCCTGGATCCTCTCCCTCGGGTTGAGAATGCAACTGGGAATTGCTGGCCTTGATAGAGGCGTGAGGGTCACATATTTACCTCTTATTCCCAGGTGCTTTGGGGAAGGTTGTCCCCGAACACCCTCACGATTTTTTTCTAACGGCCCTCCACGGAGTTTTTAAGAATACTTGTCTCTGGGTTGGGCAAGTGAATGTATCCCAATCATTCAGGCCTCCTTTATATTCCCTTCCTTCAGAAATGCCCGGCGAAGCCACAGAAACCGTCCCTGCTACAGAGCAGGAGTTGCCGCAGCCCCAGGCTGAGACAGGTAGGTTCCCCTAGCCCCCTTGCCATTAATTAAAATTGACCCTAAGGCCATTTGGTGGCAAAATGACCAAGAGGAAGTACACTGTGTAAGAGGATGGGGTTGCAGCTTTACCGAGGAGGATAGACCGTAAAATTACTATCCTGGAGATACTTCTTTAGGAATTTGGAGTAAAAGTATATTTTTAAGATTCGTGGACGTTAAAAGTTCCCTAGCTTGCTTTCTGTTATGCCTGTTGCCTCTAAAGAAGCTCTCCTGTGGAACCCCCACCTTACATAGGAAAACTGAGCAGGGAAGGGGCTCGGTGATTCTTACCTATTGGAACTAGATGACACAGGCCAAGGAGCCTGGAGCATTTGTGAAGCTCCAGCCAGCAAGTTGCATCAAGGTTTTAGTTAGCAGAGCTTGGCATTGTGCCTTTATCACATGTCTGGATGAGATGTGTGCTGGTGGTGTGTCCTACTGGGCCCCAGAGTCCTCCTAGGTCGTATAACTTGTTTATGGATTGGTGGTGCTGAGATATTTCTAGTGTGCTGGAATAGTTCCTGCATCATTGTGTGAAACCCGGGATTGAAATAAATCCTTCTTTTATCCTCAACGTTGAAAGTAGTGACTGTGAAGGCTAATTTTTAAATTCTGGTTAAAACATATCTCTGTAAAAAAACTTAGGAGGAGGTAGTGAAAAGTTCTTAAAATGATAGCCTTTCTGAGTCAGTTGTGCAGCGCTAAATGAAGGAACTCTTCAGGCTGTAATCTTCATTCTCAGCTTTTTATGATTTTTTTTTATTTCATTTGTTATTTAAGGACACGTCCTTTCCCTTTTTGGAGTTACAGTAGAGTTGCTTATGGTTGAAAGCAATAAGCTTCCCACCTGTTTGATTTTAGCAGCTGAAGGGATTAATACAGCTGCTAGGAAGAATGGGGAGTTCTGAGCTGGAGTATAAACAATATGAAATTCTTGAAGTACAAGGGGCTTAAGGAAGGGAAAAAATAAAGTACTCTTCTCTAAAGATTCTGTGATTTCAGTGCAAAACGAGATTTTAGAGATTGTGTCATTGAACAGCTTAATTTTACAAATATAAAGACTTGAAATTCAGATGAATTTAGAAAAATCTGATTTAAGCTTCAAAACTAATGCATTTACTTCTGAAACAGTCCTTAATGCTATTAAATGTATTCCTGAATAGTTTGAGTTGTATAGTAGGCTTATATTAAGGAAGTACCAATGATAAATACACAGGATTTTGTCTGTAATGATAGTCTTTTAGAATGAAGTAGGAAGCTCAAGGAATTGGTTATGGTGTCAAAGCAAGTATTTGGGGCCTTATTCCATTTGAGGTACAGTCAGAAGAAAATATATTCCATGTTTTTGTGATTCGTTATGTTTGGTAGTGTTTTCCTGTAATCGTTAGACTTTGGCCTACCCACTCTACAGGAAAAACTGGTTGAGCCACCTTGTCTTTTCCATGGTAGCATGCCATAAGAATCTCAGAATTACTGGTTCAGTGAATTTTGAATTTGAATTTTGGTACCACGGACTTTTTTCCCCCCCCCCCGTTTAACATTGCCTTCTAAGCATTGAGCATTTGTTGATCCAATTCTGTGTTACCTCCTGAATGCCGAGATACTGTCTTACTGTCATGCCAAATATTGGTGTATTTTGACATAATGAAATACTTAAATTCCAAGTTAAGGAGTGGGGATCGGGGCCGGGCGCGGTGGCTCAAGCCTGTAATCCCAGCACTTTGGGAGGCCGAGACGGGCGGATCACGAGGTCAGGAGATCGAGACCATCCTGGCTAACACGGTGAAACCCCGTCTCTACTAAAAATACAAAAAAAACTAGCCGGGCGAGGTGGCGGGCGCCTGTAGTCCCAGCTACTCCGGAGGCTGAGGCAGGAGAATGGCGTAAACCCGGGAGGCGGAGCTTGCAGTGAGCTGAGATCCGGCCACTGCAGTCCAGCCCGGGCTACAGAGCAAGACTCCGTCTCAAAAAAAAAAAAAAAAAAAGGAGTGGGGATCCAGTGTATTCTCGCCACTCCAATTCTCTTCTTTTTTTGTTTTTTTTTTTCTTTTTTTTTTTTTTTTTTGAGACGGAGTTTTTCCCCGTTGCCTAGGCTGGAGTGCAGTGGTGCAATCTCGGCTCACTGCAACCTCCGCCTCCTGGGTTCAAACAATTCTCCTGCCTCAGCCTCCTGAGTAGCTGGTATTACAGGTGCGTGCCACGATGCTCAGCTAATTTTTGTATTTTTGTATTCAGATTTTTCCTAGCCTAGTGGAAGCCTGAAAGTATAAAAGCCTGTTTTTTCTTACTTCAGATTCCCCATCATCATCACTGCTCACTATCTTCTTTGTTCCAGTTTTTGGTATTTTTTCCGTTAGTTCATGATATTTGGGTGGACAGAGTAGCATAGCTAGCTGTTCTTTGTGGTGATTCTGTTGGCTGTGAGGAGGACTTGGGAATACAGTCCATTTTAAGAAGTAAGGGGAGAGCACAACTGGGAAAGGGTAGAAAGCATGTTGTTCCCAACCTGCCAAGTGTCTGTGCTCCCCATTTAGAGATAGGCTACTCTTAGACTGTTCTCCTCACCCTAAAATAGTTGGTTTACTTTGATAGAACTTGGGGAAGTGTGAGAAATTAGGAGAGGAATGTCTTCTCACTTGACCGCTGAAAAATGTTTGGGGAAGGTTGTTGTTGCGTATCACCTTTATCTAATCCTGCGTGGTCACTTAGACTGTCAGATTTTAAACTTAAGTGTTTCCTAGGAGGCATGTTGTACCAAGTTGGGCTGCATAACTCACCTTTTTTCTCCTCCCCCCCCTTCTTTATCTCCTTTTGCCTTTCTCCAGCTATGCTACCTATGTCTTCAGCCTTGAGTGTCACTGCTGCCTTAGGCCAGCCTGGACAAACCCTCCCCCCTCCTTGCTCTCCTGCCCCACAACAGTGCCCTCTGTCAACTGCTAACCAGACTGCCCCATTCCCTTCCCCCTCTACTATTGCCTCGACCCCTTTTGAAGTTCCTTTTACCCAGTCATCCTCTGGAACAGCCCTACCTTTGGGAACTGCCCCTGAAGCCCCAACCTTCCTACCAAACCTAATAGGGCCTCCCATCTCCCCAGCTGCCTTAGCTCTGGCCTCTCCCATGATAGCTCCAACTCTGAAAGGGACGCCTTCCTCTTCAGCTCCCTTAGCTCTGGTTGCCCTGGCTCCCCACTCAGTTCAGAAGAGTTCTGCTTTTCCACCTAACCTTCCTTCTTCACCTCCTTCAGTGGCTGTAGCTGAGTCAGGGTCAGTGATATCACTGTCAGCTCCCATTGCTCCCTCAGAACCAAAGACTAATCTTATTAAAGTTCCCTCTGAGGTAGTCCCTAATCCAAAAGGCACCCCCAGTCCTCCATGTATAGTCAGTACCGTTCCTTACCACTGTGTGACTCCCGTGGCCTCTGTTCAATCTGGAATGGCCTCCCTTCCTCAGACAACACCCACAACTACCCTAGCTATCACTTCCCCTCAAGTCAAAGATACCACCATTTCCTCAGCTCTGACTTCTCCACAAAACCCAGGAAGCCTCAGCCTAAAGGGGCCTGTTAGTCCATCTGCTGCCTTACCTCTTTCAACTCAGTCTCTTCCTGTGGTGACCACTTCTCAAAAGACTGTGGGTCCCAACACCCCCCCAGATTTTCCCATTTATCTGGGCTCTCATCTTGCACCTTTATATCAAAGTTCTTTTGGTTCTGTCCAACCTTTAGGTCAAACAAGTCCCAGTGCTTTGACAGACCCTACAGTGAAGACCATTTCTATAGATCATTCTTCCACAGGGGACTCTTATCCTTCTCAGAGATCTGTAATTCCTCCCCTTCCTTCCAGAAATGAGGTAGTTCCTGCTACTGTGGCTGCCTTTCCAGTGGTGGCTCCATCTGTTGACAAAGGTCCCTCTACCATCACTAGCATAACCTACAGCCCTTCTGGCTCCTTAAATGTAGCTACCTCCTCTTCATTATCTCCTACGACCTCTCTCATTCTCAAAAGCTCTCCTAAAGCCACTCATCATTATCCTTTAGTGGCCCAAATGCCTGTTTCTTCTGTTGGAACCACCCCACTTGTGGTGACTAACCCCTGTACAATTGATGCAGCAGCTACTACCTTTGAGGTAGCTACTTGTGTTTCTCCTCCAATTTCATCAGGTCCCATAAGTAATATAGAACCAACTTCCCCTGCTGCCTTGGTTATGGCACCTGTGGCTCCCAAAGAGCCTTCTACTCAAGTAGCAACCACTCTGAGGACACCAGTCTCTCCTCCTCTGCCAGACCCTGAAAACCTCAAAAATCTCCCCAGTTCAGTATTGGTTAAATTTCCAACACAAAAAGACCTCCAAACTGTACCTGCCTCTCCTGACGGAGCTGCTTTCTCTCCAGCCCAAGCAGAACTCACCACCAAGAAAGACCCTACTGTGTTACCATTAGCCCAGACAGTTCGTAAAAATTCCCCTTCTTTCCAAAGTACATCCTCTTCTCCAGAGATATCTCTTTCTCCTGAAACCACCATAGCAAAGAAAAGCCTTGGAGGCCCTCTCCCTATAGGTAAGCCAACCAGCACTGTGACCTCCCCGCTGGGTGTTAACTCCTCCTCGGCCTCTGTAATCAAGACAGATTCTTATGCAGACCCAGACTCTGCTGGTCTGCTTCTCAAAAGTTCTCTCATTACCCCAACAGTGACTGCATTTCCTTTGCAAAGTGCTGACCCTGCTGGGGTGACTCCCACAACTGCCAAAGGTACCTCAACTTATATAGCTACAGCCAGCCCTTTTCTAGAAGGAACCGTCTCTTTAGCTCCTGAAAAACACCCAGTTAAGGAAGGTACTTCCACTCTTACTACTTTATCCTTGGTTCCTACAGCTTCAGATTGCCCTGTGGCTCCATCCCCCCAGAATACCTCTGCTCCTCTGGCTACCTTAGTGCTGGCCCCTGAAATCCCAAAGTCTGTGCCTTCACCCTCTCTTCCCGCAGCTGGGACTCCTCCAGGTACAAAAAAGGTTGATGGTATTTCTCATACTTCAGCATTGGCACCTGTTGCTTCCTCTCCCAAAGAGTGCCCAATTGAGGACTCTGGTGCTTCTGCTACTGCATCTTCCAAAGGAACTCTGACTTACCTAGCTGGCTCCCCATCTCCTTTAGGGGTTAGTGTGTCTCAGACTAAAAGACCTCCAACCAAGAAGGGTTCTGCTGGCCCTGATACTCCTGTTGGAAATCTCTCGTCCCCTGTTTCTCCAGTTGAAGCTTCATTTATCTCAGAGAATAGTCTTTCTTTCCAAGACTCTAAAGACTCACCTGCCACGAAACATTCTCCCACTCCTCCATCCCCCAAAGGGGCCCCTGCCCCCTCAGCTGTGACTCCTCTGTCTCCCAAAAGAGTAACACTACCCCCCAAAGAGACCTCCACTCCTTCAGTTGTGAATCCGCCCTTCCCCAAAGAGGGTCCAGCTACCCCAGCACCCAAACAGGCTCCCACTCCTCCCACTCTATCCAGGACTTCTTCCTCCCTCAAAAAGGCCCCCACACCCCTAGCTGCAACTCCTCCTTCCCGCAAAGGAGGCCCAGCTACCCCATCCCCCAAAGGGGCCCCCACACCCC